ATGCTCTGGGTCAACACAAAGTCAAAGCGATCCATTTGACTTCTTGACAATGACAATCTGTTGGCTCTGTAACTTTCTTAATGACACCAAGGTTTTCAAGACGACTTAGTTCATCTTTGAGTTTCTCCTTAATGGCTATAGGTACTCGACGAGGAGGCATTACAACTGGAGTAACAAACTTGTCTAATTCTAAGTGTAATTTACCATCCATCCTGCCTAATCCTTCAAATACATCACCATAGGATTCCATTATTTGATCCTTGCTTAGTCCACTATTCCTTGTTGTCTCTTCAATTTGGAGTATAATCTCAAACTGGACTGTGATTAGCTTCATTTGCTGTGATGCACGAGACCCTAGCAGTGGTATATAGTCACCTTTGACGACAACAAACTCTATTTGATATTTCCTGTCAGTCTTTGGGTTACGTATATTTACTTTCCTTGTACCTATAACTGGCATGTTTGTCTTGCTATACATGGTGAGATTATGGTTGGATGTCTATATTCTAGTCCCTTTTGGTATTAACCCAAAATCGTTTTTACCTACATTAAGACGGATAGAAGCCGTAAAACGTGTAACTGAGGTCAGTTACTCCCTAGATAGTTACTAATAATGGTCTGATGTAGCTATGTACCAGTTTAGTTTGTAATTCAGTTAAGAAGTATTTGGACATTATAATGTATTGTTGAGTGAGATCGCCTTTGTGTGTCAATGAATTTCCTACTTCAAGATACTGATGGTCACGCTATGTGAGGGACGAGTAACAACGATTAGTGTCTAATTAGAAAGCTATACACGTTCAAGGGTGCGAGTATATGAGTAAAAATGATTTGATCAACAGAAATTGTGATATAAGGCGTTGATGAAAGACTGTAATGTACTGATTTGGAATGCGACGTTTGAATTATTTGCGACGTCACGAAATCAAGAATTTTCCATGAATAACATCACCGTCATTCAGTGAAATAAGAAGATTTTAGAACATTAGTAAGTAGTCACGTACTAAACTGATTGTTCTAGAAGACTACGCTTTGAAGTATTTCGAATTTGTGAACAATCTGTAATAGTATTTCCTGCTACTGATTAATTATTCAAGAGTATTGACTAGCGTGTTAATTGTCAAAATGAGTGACATAGAAACACAATCGGAAATAGACATATGTACTAAATCTCAACTGGAGGACAGCAAATCTAACGAGGAAAGTGGCGACATCAAAGTGTCATCATGGTTATTTGGCAAAAGTGACCACACCACTACAATGGATGAAATTGATACAATACCAAAGCATGTATCAATTAAAACACAAAAGTCTAAAGAAGACCAAATAAATAGATTGAAAGCTTCCAGGTCAGCATACTTTAGCAAAGTTACAGAGAAAAGGCATCAGATCGAAATTTTATTGCTGGATAGTCATCACGCTCCCCAAGTTGAAATTCAGTTAAAGGAATGGCAAAATACTTATCAAGATTTTAAACAAGCTGATAACAAGTACAGATGGTTATTACCCCCAAGAGAGCAACATAATAGACTATGACGCTTGGGTAGCTCCATGACTTGTTGAGTGCGGCAAGTTTACACTGAAAGTAGAGAATTGGTTGCTAGGAAACAGTAACGATCTTCCCAGAGATGAAGATGAAATTAAACCATCCGATAGCATTTGGCAACAAGATTACATGGAACATGTATCGAGATCTCACGTTAGTACTAGAAGTAAATTATTGTCACAAGCTGGTAGTCGTTCTACTAGTGTTAAAAGTAATACGTCCAAGGTGAGCATTATGGCTAAAAAAGTTTAATTGACGACACGTGCTTCCGCATTGAGTGGTACATACACCACTAACAAACAAGATGACAAGAAGAAAAGCCACGATATTAATAATAGTGCATCATGCATTATACTAAATAAAGGAAATCACTCAGATACTAACAGTAATGGCCATAGAAATTCTCATGCCAGTCGATTTCTGGAACTGACACAACTGTTGGTAGACCACAACAAACGTGCTGCATTACCACTACAAAAAATACCGAATTTCAGAGGAGACCCACTGAAATATAAAAGATTCATCCGGGCATTTAAGCATGGTATAGAAGTTAATACAGACAATCCAGAAGATAGGCTTTATTTCCTAGAGCAGTACACAGAGGGTGAACCAAAAGAAATCGTCAGTAGTTGCATATACATGGAACCTAAAAATGGTTATGCTACAGCAAGAAAACTACTTGATGAAAAATATGGTAACCCACACAGAATAGCATTGGCATACACAGCTCAGGCAGAGAAATGGCCACAGGTGAAGTCAGAAGATAAAGTTGGACTAAATGAGTTCTTGATATTCCTGACTGCCACAATGCAATGCAGGGCGAGGTGCATTTACGGGAGCTAGACCATCACAAAAATATAATGATGTTGGTGGATAAATTACCATATAAATTGAAAGAATCCTGGAGACAGAAATCAGATGGCATCATGTTAACCCGACCAGTCCAATTTGAAGATTTGCTCGACTTTGTGGACAAAGAAAACAGAGTGTTACATAATGTATTGTTTCGTGAGTTGAATAGTGCACAACAGAAGGAGAAAGCAGTGAAATACAACAAGAAAGCTGAACGCAGCCAGTGTAAAAAGTATACAGCTTTTGCTGTAAATGCTGACACCAAACCAAACAATCCATGTTTGTGTTGCACTGACACTTCACACCAGATACAAAAGTGTAAATGGTTTGCTAGTAAAAACTACAAAGACAATTTAAGAAACAGCTGATACGTGCTAAGGGACTTTGCTATGGTTGTCTAAAGACAGAAAACCACCTAATCAAGAACTGTAAAAGTAAATTAACATGTGACATCTGTAAACAACCTCACCCTACCGTATTACACAGAGTCTGAGAGATACAATATATACCTGTTCTAAGGATGGACCCATGACAACATCGGTGGGACGTGTTACCATTGATTGCCAGACCACTAGATCAAAAGAAATTACTGGGAAGCCAGTAATCATACCAATTATAGAGTAAGAAGCAAGTCTACAGGTTTGTAAACAGAAACCTACGCATGCATGGATACTGGTAGCGATGCAGTGTTTTGTACTGAAAGGATCAGACAACAGCTGAATGTTGGTGGACACAAAACAAAGCTGAATCTACACACCATAACTGGATGTAAAGGAACAGACAGTTATGCAATTAAGGACCTAGAAGTCATGAATTTGAATGATTGTGAACCTAGAATCGACTTTTCCATTGTTAAGACACAGATGAGATACCTGTATCCAAAGAGGATATTTTGACACAGCTAGACATACAGTGTTGGTCATACCTGAAAGAAGTATATCTACCAAGTATAGATGCAGATATTGGGTTGTTGGTTGGTAACAGTGTGCCCAAAGCTTTTGTGCCATGGGAAGTAATAAACAGCCAAGATAATGGTCCTTATGCTGTAAAGACAGTTTTAGGATGGGCTGTTAATGGATCCCTGAAAGGGGCTGGTCACAAAGAAGACTCAAGTGAACACAGTTCGCATGCAGTTGTGAATAGAATTCAAGTTGGACAAAACCTGAATCAACAGTTAACCAATTACTTCAATTTAGAATTTTCAGAAAGAATTATTGACGACAAGCCAGAGAGGTCAATTGAAGACAAAAAGTTCATGGAAATCATGAAAGCCAAAGTACAACACATCAATGGACATTACCAAGTACCATTGCCACTTCGTAATGAAAATGTCCAGATGCCAGACAATAGACCAGTTGCTGAACAGCGACTGAAACAGCTGAGAAAAAAATTACAAAGAGATCCGTCATATCACAGGGAATATAATCAGTTTATGGAAACTGTATTTGCCAAAGGTTATGCTGAGTCAGTGCCATTAGGAGAGCTGCCAGGCAAAAAGGGCAAGAAGTGGTATATTCCACATCATGGTGAACGACATCCACAAAAGAAGAAACTGGGGGTTCTATTCAATTGTAGTGCTGAATTCCAGGGGACATCACTCAACAAGCAGTTGTTACAAGGTCCTGATCTACAAAGATTTCCAACGTTTTCTGTGGTGGTCTGATGGTGATACTAGCAAGCCTGCAGTAGAGTATAGGATGAAAGTTCATATCTTTGGAGCAACTTCATCACCAAGCTGTGCCAATTACGCTTTAAAAAAAGACAGCTGAAGATAGTTCAAACACAGAAGCCTTAGTTGTGGATACTATACGAACAAATTTCTATGTCGATGATATGCTAAAATCTGTGCCTACAATGAAAGAGGGAATAACTTTGGCTAAGAATATTATGACCACTTGTAAGGAAGGTGGCTTCAGACTTACCAAATGGATAAGTAATTATAGACGGGTATTGGAAGCAATACCAAAAGAGGGGAGAGCTAAAGAAGTTAAAGACTTGAACTTACAAGTTCAAGTTGGACAAAACCTGAATCAACAGTTAACCAATTACTTCAATTTAGAATTCCCAGAAAGAATTATTAACGACAAGCCAGAGAGGTCAATTGAAGACAACAAGTTCATGGAAGCTAAAGAAGTTAAAGATTTGAACTTACAACTAGATGAGTTGTCAGTAGAAAGAGCTCTAGGCATGCAGTGGGATGTGGAAGCCGACACTTTTGGTTTCAGGAACTGCATCAAAGGAAAGACAACTAGCAGAAAAGGCATACTGAGTATTGTGAGCTCTGTGTTTGACCCATTGGGGTTAGCAGCTCCTGTGATTCTGCCAGCCAAAGTTATACTCCAAGACCTATGTAAAAGTAAGTTAAACTGGGATGCTGAAATTCCTGCCAAACAGCATAAAAATGGAATAAGTGGCTGGAAGACCTACCCAAGTTGGAAGAGAACTTCAAGATTAATAGATGTCTGAAACCAGAAAGATTTGGTAAACCAGTAAATACCCAGTTACACCATTTTTCTGATGCCAGTGAATTGGGTTATGGTGCAGTATCATACATTAGGATGGTGAATCAGAATGGAGTGGCAGAGTGGCACCAATGAAGCAAATGACTATTCCACGATTAGAGTTGAAAGCAGCAACATTGTCAGTGAAACAGAATAAACTCATACAGAGAGATATGGAAATGAAAGTGGATGAGACATTTTACTGGACCGATAGCATGACTGTGCTTCGGTACATAAATAACGAACATACAAGATATCACACTTTTGTTGCAAACAGAGTGGCACTGATACGAGATGGATCAGTACCTGAGCAGTGGTCATATGTAAACACCAAGGACAGCCCAGCAAATGAATGCTCACTAGGACAGTCTATTGATGACTTTCTCAATAATAGTCGATGGATTTATGGACCACGATTTATTTGGGAGTCTCAAGAAAGATGGCCCCAAACTAATCCTGACACACGGCTCCCAGAAGATGACCAAGAGGTGAAGACCAGAGTAAAGGTTAACACTGTCACTCTGTTGATTACAAATCCAATTGCTGAGTTAATACAACATTACTCAAATTGGTTCCAGCTAAGGAAGGCAGTTGCATGGCTGTTGAAGTTCAAGAAAATGTTGAAGATCCGATGCGAGAATAAACACCAAGCTGTAGGGTTAATTAAGCAGAATGTAGATTCTGTGTTGACTGTACAAGACATGTGTGATGCTGAACTGGCTATCATTAAATTTGAACAACACAGAGTGTTTGCATAAGAAGTTGCCATACTTAATGGAAAAGAGAAGTATGTAAAGCGAACCAGTCATCTCTACAAATTGGATCCTGTATTAGGAACAGATAGTCTGTTACGTGTTGGCGGTCGATTGAAACAAGCAAACCTCTCAGAACAGACAAAGCATCCACTGATTTTACTTAAAGATAGTCATGTATCTGAAATAATCCTACGTGATATTCATGAAAATGGTGGACATTACATCATTTCCGAATTAAGGAAGAAATATTGGATTATACATGCTAACTCTGCCACAGGAAGTATGATTCACAAATATATTATATGCCGTATCTTCTAATGAACCACCATTCACAAGGGTGGGTAACATTTTCAAGTTTCTTTCAAATTTTATTGAGTTACATTTGAATTACTTGTTCTGTATTTTTGAATTTTATTAGAATGTTATTAAGAAATCAGACCTTGGCGGCTTTAGAACATTAGTTTAGTTGATAAATTGCCCATATTATTCGCGTTATGACCAATTTAGGGGCTGAAATGTAGCCGCCGTTTAGTTATATTGTATTTTTATCGTACGTTTGACTTTTTGTATTTACGCCCTCTCGTGGCTATAATATTTCACGCTCCGATATACATTCTTTTTCTGGAACATTTAGACAGAAAAGTCAGTTCACGGTTAGCACTCGACGGAGATGGACCCAAAATTGTTTTTACCTACGTTAAGATGGATAGAAGCCGTAAAACGTGTAACTGAGGTCAGTTACTCCCTAGACAGTTACTAATAATGGTCTGATGTAGCTAAGTACCAGTTTAGTTAAGAAGTATTTGGACATTATAATGTATTGTTGAGGTGAGATCGCCTTTGTGTGTCAATGAATTTCCTACTTTAAGATACTGATGGTCACGCTACGTGAGGGACGAGTAACAACGATTAGTGTCTAATTAGAAAGCTATACACGTACAAGGGTGCGTGTATACATGTGATGAACGTAGCAACTCTGCACTTGTCATCTTTCTTATCAAGGTTGGTTACAATTTTGTATGCATCCCAAATCTGATTTCATTTCTTCCAATTTTTGGCAAGATTACCCTTCAATTCAAGTTTTGGAGGCAGTGGAACATTAGATGTAAAGTTTGATGGATGGGGAACATTTCCTTGTGCTTGATTATCTGCCATATTTGAAATTTATGAGGTATAAACTCAGAAAACTTGTCTGCATTCACTGAGCAGCAACGGTGATTGCAAAGTCATGTGTGTACATTCAACTTCGAACAAGGAAAGTTGGTCTGATCAGTTTAAAACTCACCTCAGCGATTCAATTTCAGTCCGATATGGATTTCTGGGTTACAAAACGTTTCTTTGTGCATTCATTTAGCAACAAGATCATTTCTGACACCATGTAAAGTTTACTTAAGAAGAAAGATCGTATACAAGGATGACCTCAGGCAATTCCCGACTATAATATTTTTTACTAACCACACATGCGTAATGGAACATACCATTACATAAGGAAGAACCGTAGCTCTTGCAATACAAGGGGCAATGTATACGAGGCACTAACGTTACACGCAACGCGATACTGTAGAGATTCACCGATGTTGTAGCAAGATCTTTATGCTTTGATTTTGACGGGGAAAACGGCATGATTTTCTTTAAATAAAAAAATTAGTTGTTTTCAAAAAATAAACTGAGCATTTGAAGAATGATTTAACATTGTTAATAGAAATAACAGCTCATTGTCGAAACGAAGCTTACCCCCATTCACGTCATCATACTCTTAAATAGGTGTCAATGACTACGGTAAAATATAAATTATTTTAAGCATCAGGAGTGAATGAAATATCCAAAATATTTTTAAAAAAAACTGGGCGATTTCATGGTCCGTTGCAGACTGTACTCGACCGACCGTCCATACACGTGTTGTCACTGTACATCCGCCATGTTGAATTGCACGAGATCGGCAAAATCTTCATTACAACACAGTCATTGTAGACTGTGATTACAACTAACAGTTTAATGCTCACAACATAACAAATACGAATATAATCATAGGCAACCTGCTATGATATAATGAATAAATTGATGGACACAGGGACATTCTTTCCCCCCGAGTTGTGGATATTTCGGAAATTGCGACACAAGCAAAAAACCAGAAAACGATTTACTTAACAACTATGTCCCCATGAATTAATTGTTCGTGTACAATAATTTGACAGGGTATACAATTTAGAAACTAGTTTCGTAAATTGGAGACAATTGTTTGCTTTTTTGGCTTTTCACAAGAATATAAAGAATATAATCATCATGATATTCACATCCGTACGTCATGGAATGTACATCAATTCTACCCCAATACATTCAATGTTACTGAAACTGGAAAACTTACCTTTGCAAACATGTCTCTTATGCCGCCTTCTTGAAGTTCTTGAAATCATGTAAGGTTACTAGTTCTTTCAGTAACTAGTGAATGAGACCACTGAGCCGAACAAAATACATGTATAAACAGTACTGCACGCAATGGAGAAATCACGTGCCATACAACAGCAGTGTTACTTGCAGATCTAATCTACTGTAAAATACTTTATTTCAGCTGGAATTATCATCGCTGAAAAGACTTTTTCTGGGTGTTTTGTATTGAATTTATTTTCATTGATTTTTGACAAGTTGAATGTAAAATATAGGAAAACGGGTATATTCGCTGGATTTTATTTTAATTGAAACATTCCTTCAGCGAAAATAGCGAAAAAAAGTTGCAAGTGAAAATAAAGTATTTTACAGTAATTAATTTATTCTGAGCATGCGCATGTCATTCTGTCAATGTTGCCGGGAGAGGTAATTTTTGATGAAAATCATGAAAAAGACCCACTTGGGATTTTCAGATCTGGAAAAAAAATTGTGTGCCTACTAAGCATATTATTGTTAATCAATCTGCCAAGTTTCACTGATATCTGCTGCAGAATTTCTGAGAAAATGTTGGAGAAGGAAAATGAACAAAACCTGAATTATAAAGTCCCCTTTTCAGGCTGCGCCTGAACGGGGACTAATAAAAGCCATTTCTTTTAAATGTAACATATTCTCTTTTATTAGTAAGAAACATGTTATCAATCTGTACAAAAAGCAACAAAAAAACACAAATATTATCACTGTTTACAAATCATACATGCAAAGTTATCAAAGTAAACATTTAATATTTTCAGTGTTTACAAATCATACATACAAATATCATAATGTCAGGTCAAATGTCCACAATATCAGAGCAACTGTCATCATCTTCAGGTGGAGGTGGAGGAGTTCTGAGAGAGGTCCAAGAGATGGTGGCCTGGTGATTATCCCTGCAGTGGTCATGACTGTGCTCACAAAGTCACTCAGGTTCAGGGAGTCTGTGGTCTTGTCAGCAGCAGCAGGGGTGTCATGGCTCTAGTTACCCCCCTGTCCAGGTCCAGGATGTTGGTGGAGCTCATTGATGCATGTGTTGATGGTTGTGGGTACAGGGCAGAGTACTGGCCGCTCATGTAATGAGAGTTTTGGGAGCCCCAGACACTGGTGGGCTGTTGACCTGGCATTTGCTGGGTCGACCACTGTGATGGTGAAGGCTGCCACTGGTAACTCTGGGGCATTTTTGTGGGGTACTACCTGCTGGTGGAGCTGGTAGGTACGACTGAAGTTGTAGCTGGATTGGGGGGATTGGAGCGACCTGTCGCTGCTACTGTGGGAAGGTGGGCATCTGCTGGAACATCTCCTGGCACTGTTCAGCCTGCCTCTGTCCCTCATGTAGCACTGTCATGAGCTTGATCTTTGTAGCTCGTTTTATGTCCCCAGGAAGCTGTGCCAGACCCTCATCTATAAGTCTGGCAAAGGTGGAGGGACCACCTTTTTGCCAGACATAAACTCCATCAGACTTTGCTTCAAGTCAACACTCTCTATGGAGAGTCTTCGAGAGGGGGCTCTGTAGACTGGGACTCTGACCCAGAGTCTGACTGGATGATGACTGGTGTTGGTGGGGGTACTGCTGGCCCAGTAGCTGTGGCTGTTGCTGGTGCTCCCCTCCCTGTACCTCTACCACGTATGCTCACCATGTTTCTGCGTTCCACAGTTTTGATGTGGTCTTTGAGGAGAACTTCTCCCACACCCACTTGTCCATGGCAGACAGGTCCTCGACTGTCTCGGCACCCCCGACTTCCTGACAGTCCTCTTGTCCTCATAAACTCCATCAGACTTTGCTTCAAGTCAACACTCTATGGAGAGTCTTCGAGAGGGGGCTCTGTAGACTGGGACTCTGACCCAGAGTCTGACTGGATGATGACTGGTGTTGGTGGGGGTACTGCTGGCCCAGTAGCTGTGGCTGTTGCTGGTGCTCCCCTCCCTGTACCTCTACCACGTATGCTCACCATGTTTCTGCGTTCCACAGTTTTGATGTGGTCTTTGAGGAGAACTTCTCCCACACCCACTTGTCCATGGCAGACAGGTCCTCGACTGTCTCGGCACCCCCGACTTCCTGACAGTCCTCTTGAGGAGGCTCATCTGGGTACGGTTGGATTTGTAAAAGGTTCTCTTTGTTCTGCAAGTCTTTATAATCTGTTATTCACTTTGAATAGATGGAGGAATTGTCTTTTAGCCAGTTAATAACCTCTACTTAGTAGTAGGGTTTGTTTGTACGCTTTTTGCGGCGGCTGCTGCTAGCACTGGTGTGATGTCTGGGAGATCATCCCCTGCAGGGTCAGGCTATGGCTGCTCTGGCTCTGGAACCTGTATGGCTTCATCTTCTGCCAGTGGTGGTGTTGGAGACCTCGGCCTTTCAGCCACCTGGCCTCTGCCTGTCCGTCTCTGACTCTTCTTTGCTGCACCTCTACCTCTCTTGGGCCCCATCTTTGTTGTTTTCAGGCTCAGGATACTATTTCTTCGTTTGGAAACAATGCAATGAGTGTTACTCAAGACGCAGCACTATTTATCGGGGTGGAAAGAGAGCGTGGTTATTGTAGGAGCTGAGGAAGCTTGCCAAGCATAACAAAGCGTGTTAATCCTTGATCAAATCGCCTCAATTCATGGGAAAGCGTGGAGCCCTTCATGAAAGTGTAACAAAGCGTGTCAGATCTTGATGAAAGCATCTGACCTTGTGTCAGATCTTCATGCCAGATCGTAGCAAATCTTGAGACAATCTTAATGAAGCATGTCAAGTGGTGACAGACCATGAAGTCTGGGGGTTCCCGCTTTGAACCAAGCCCTGTTAAGCTTTCCAACGCTTTGAGTCAAGCTTTGCTGAGCTTTGTTAAGCTTTGATACGCTCTCTGCGCTTCAATCAATTCGTGACATAGCGCCAACGATTTTCAAACAGTTTAAAATTTTGTTGGCGCTTTTGCCGAATGTCCTACTTTACTCCAACCTTTCCCACGATCTATTACGATTCTGATGCTTTAATCAAGCTTTGTTACGCTTTGGTGCCACTTTAAAGCGCCGTTGGTGTGAACTAAGCATTAAAATTACAGTGCAAGCATTATTTGATTTCATAGTGATTCATTCATATTATTCACTTTGTATATTACAGGGTGACCTATTAGGTGTCTGTGGTAGCGTTGGTAGTGGTAAAAGTTCACTGATGTCTGCAATACTGAGTCAAATGAGACTGGTAAAAGGGCAAGTGTGTGTTGGTGGTACCATTGCATATGTGGCTCAACAAGCATGGGTATTCAATGCAAGTCTCAAAGATAATATCTTATTTGATAAGCCATATGATGAAAAGAGATATACTGATGCTGTGTTTGCTGCTTGTCTTCAACAAGACATTGATATGCTACCAAATGGTGACCAGACTGAGGTAATTATCAATTAAATATCATCACTAATGTGCATAAATTTCACCACTTTGAGAATAGATAACATTTTAAAGGATTGTCTGGTATCACTGATACTACATTTTCATGCATGTGTTGCTTAAAATAATACATATCGTGCCTGGGGAACCCAGCATTGCATTCAATTAAATATTTACATGTCTGTTCAGCCGTCATTGCCATCCTAATTTTTGTTTGTGGGTGTGATAACTCCGATAATATTCGGCCAATCAAACTTATATGTATTGTTAATCTATAAAGTTGGCCTGTATAGATCTTCCAGAAAGTGTATATTGTGTCTTCAATATTGAGAAACTACATAGTGTAATGATTAAGACCTTTGCTTCAAGGGATCAAATCCCATGCTGGGAATTTTTTAGTCCTTTGGACCAACGGTCCAACAGACTAATGACTTCACCATAAGTCGTATGCCGTAGAAAAAGATATCTTGTAAACCAGTTCAGTAATTTTTTTAAAAACTTGGTAAGATGGTAACTAGGGTCATTATGTCTAGACTTCATTTAGGATTGAATCGTTTAAAAAGTGTTTTTTTTCTCACATTTTTGGTAAAAATGTTATTTCCTATCTTTAACTGGGTTGGTTTAATACATTTTAAGCATATTCGTGTAGTTATATTACACAAATATTTTTTTCATTTTGAAACATATTTTTACATAATTTTTGTATTATTAACTTTTTGAGACTTTGTGTTGAAGCTCATAATGTATAACTGGGGTGCTGTTACAGCAATTTCAGGCACTGATTTGATGCTGAAGTAGTGCTGGATGTTCATAACTTACTACAATAGGTTACACACAAGTGGTAACTAGAAATATAAACATCAGCTGCAAATCAGAGGAATGATTGACAGATATTGCCCACAATATTTTCTATTTTTGCTACAAAGTCAGGTACACCTAGACTTTGAGGCGCGTCTGTCTTTCATTCACTTTTGGTCGATCATCGCGTCGATTGTGTGTCTACAAATCGACATTTGTCCAAGTTGTTTAAACACCACGATGGAGAAGCAAGGAGTCAAAAAAACAGTTGAAGTGAGAACAAGAGTTGTCGATTTGTATTTTCGTGGACTGTCATTTGCTGAGATTAGAGATCGAAATGGTGTTTCAAAGCAGACAGCTTATAATATCGTCAAACAGTTTGTTACCACCGAGAGTATCCTGACAGGAAACTGACAACGTTACAGACTATGTCGAATATTATAAAACATTCCGACCGCGCATTTACAGACGTGAAATTCCACAAAAACTACTTGTGTACGGCGGCAACTCTCCCCGGACGTGTGATCGTGTTGTGGCCATTGATAAGCTTTTTAAAGCACATCAACCTTTTGGTTCTCATCTTCGAGAACTAATAATCGAATAACACCCATTCTACTTATGTGTTCAATTTCATTATTGATATACTGGACGAAGTCTGCATAGGACATTTGTTGCAGGCAGCTTTCAGTTACTGTAAAATGACTAATTTTCACTGGGTTTAAATTTCACTGATTTACCATTTCGGGAATATTCAGTGGGTTTTAAATTCACGGTTTCGACATTTAGATAATGTGTTCTATGCTAAATTTTACATATTCACTGTGTTTTAATTTAGCGCATTTTTCCAGTCAGCGAAATAAGCTAAATTAAAACCCAGTGAATAATTACCCCCTTTACAGTATATACATCGGCGTGATACGGATATTTCTGTAGTAGGAATAATGCACTTTGATGAATAATTCTGTCATGATCAGTTGGTCAGCTGGTTCTGTAAAATAACGTTCTTTAGAGTGCCACCACTTTATGCGCCCCTCTCACTGAAATAACATGTGACGCAAATTGAAGTACGGAACTAAGTTAAGAGCCTCGATCGTTTATTGGAGGAGAAATTCAAAACTAATATACCGCCACGTTTATGGGCGAAGCTTTTTTCTGGTGCACTTCAAATTGCGAACATGCTGTCTGCATTATTTGTAACAACTTCTGTAAATTTGAAAACAAAGTGTGTAACCTATTGTAGTAAAGTTATACTACTTCAGCGTCAAATCAGTGTCTGGAATTGCTGTAAATATAATGAGGTGCTCAGCTTTGCCGTTAAATATTTGACTATAATGAACTATTGTTATAGTATGTTAATGGTATATTCTAGTTGTACTTCCAAGTATCAAAATAAATATATGGTATTCATAATAATATGATAAAATATCTGTGTTTATACAAGCACACCTTGTTCTGAATTGTGAATCTACATGACTATATGAATTGAATTTTCATGAAAGAACGTAATAATGCTGTGATAGAAAGAAAATAATTTGCGATAAATCCTGTGTATTGGGGTATTTCTTTTTCTTGATGAGAACAATGTTTTTTATTACATTTGTTGTAGATTGGTGAGAAAGGAATCAATTTAAGTGGAGGTCAGAAACAGCGAGTGAGTTTAGCTAGGGCTTTATATGCTGACTGTGATATCTATTTACTTGATGATCCGCTCAGTGCAGTAGATACCCATGTAGGACAACATATATTTGAAGTATGCATAAAGCAAGCTTTACAAAACAAAACCGTTATCTTTGCCACACACCAACTTCAGGTAAGTTTCTTCTCTCTATTTCATCCGACCATTCACGGTCTCTCTATTATTTGGTCTTGGATTACCAGAGTGGGTGGTTTCATGAGACAAATGCGCGATAGTGACACCGTGACTTTGAATGTCAGAAACAATATCGGCAATGGTACAGGTATCTTCATTAGTATCATCTCCATAAAAACAGGCACCTTCCAGAACAAAATCCCAGTCTCTGTATGACTTCAAGATTGCTACAATCTCTTGTTTGTTTTTATTCTGAATGACCACCACCAAACTAACTGCAAGCACAAATCTGTATAACACATTGTATAACACTCTGTATAACACTCTGTATGCTGGGATTTTTCTGACCCTTATGAATATTCAACAACTTTCTTCAAACCATCGCTGGTTATCATAGGTTATCATAATCTGTTTACCCATACTACGTGGATGGAGACAAACGATAGGCTGTTGTTGCCAGGCCGGTGAAAGAGGGACTGTGGACCATTATAAAATTTAGAAGACTTAAAATCTTTAAATTTATTAATGAAATATTAGTTATTAGTCATACATTAGTATTATTGTTATTTATTCGTTGATATTACTCCAGTATTTAAAACGATGTGATGATGTCATGATGCTAAAAGATGGTCATGTGACTGAGTATGGTACACACAGTCAGCTGATGCTGGATGACAAAGAATTTGCAAATCTCATTAAAACATATCATGAAACTGAACAAGAAGAAACACCGCCTGATATTACTTCTTTTAAAAGTCAACTAAGTCGTCAATTAAGTTTATCTTCTACAACATCTCAGTCAACTTTATCCAGTGATGCCAGCTCTGATATCGCTATGGATACAGAGGGTAAGATTTTATGTTTTTTTGCTTCTTGGTTGTGGGGAAACGACCACAATCATATGGTCTTCAATGCAGATGTATTTTATTTATTTTTTTATTAGACGCATAAAATCCTTAGGAAAGGATAAAAAGGGTCTTACAGAAAGAAATTAAAAAAACAAACAAACTACAATCTAAAAAAGAAAACAAAAAATAAAAACTTTTCTAAAAAAAATAAAACAAGTCAAAAACAAAAAAGACAATTTGCAGCCAATGGTGAATACAGAATATGGAATGAACACAAAATGTGGCCTAATACACTGATAGTTGTTGCTGTTTTGTTCCATAGCTGTTTTTTAAGAAGACAGCTAAGGCTGGTGCTAGAGTATGGTTTGCCATAATCAAAATGAATTTATTCTGACTATTTTCTTTATCAAAGAAATGTATGTTGTATGATAACATCCAAACTTAACACGAAAAACATGTATATATGATAACTTACATAATATGCATGTCAATTTTGATCATTTGATCAAATATGGCTGACTGGTGGCCATTTTGGAATAATTATTATAGTTAAATGTATCAGAAACAGTTTCTCAGTGATGAACAAAGCGATTTCATTCAAACTTTGTATCATATTCATACATACTGGGTTACAGGCATTTTTTTGTTAGCGATTCAATTTTAATATAAATATATATTTTCCTTCAATATTTTGCCAGGAAAATTGATTGTAGCAGAAGAGAAAGAAACTGGATCAGTTAAATTGAGTACTTATGGTGCATACATTAAGTCAGCTGGTGGATGTGTAATAGCCTGTATTGTGTGTTTGCTATTTTTATTGTATGTCAGTAGTTTGACATTCAATGCATGGTGGTTAAGTTACTGGATAAGCAGAGGAAGTGGGGTGAGTAGCTTTCTCTTCCATTATTATCCAGTCTGATGTTTGGTGTGCATATCTCTCATTGCGACCTATTCTGATCACAGATCAACACTGATAGATTGTGATGTAATAATTAATAACTATTAATTAAACTTTCAAATTATATTCATTGCAAGTCACTTAAGATCATTTAGTTTTATAATGAACATAATTTAATATCAGTAGTTTGTTAGTTGCTCAAATATATATAACACAGTGATAATATTGAAGAGAAAACTATTCTGTGTTATATGACCTTGGCATTGGATATCAATTAAGGGGTGTTTGCTCACACAAAGTGTGTGTTACGATGACTTATTACCCGGCAGATTCTTTAACACTCCATAAACTTATAAATTTATTTGATATATTTTTGTGATATACATGTACATACAAGTTTATGGCAAAAATATATCAAATATATACACACTACATTGTATATTAAAATCTCCAGTTACAATAAAATCAACACTGCAGTAATAATTCATTCTAGTTATAATTTCAAATATCTTTACCAGTGTTTGTGACATGCATCTTAGCCACAGCATTGCAATGAGACACAATGTTTATCAGCAAAGACAATGTTGATGTGTATAAATTCCTTGTTTCTGATAAGATGAGGTTATTTGGAGGATACCTCAAAGAATGCATGAAGACAGTACAGTGGGAGTATCGACCGACGCACAGCAGAGGTCGATGCGACGGCAAATTTTCTGGGTGCATACTTTGAGGTATCCTTGTAATAACCTTATTATTATACATCTTTTCCTGCCAATGAACATCATGGAAATGCTGAAATCCAAAAAGTTTAGAACAGAATCAGCAAACCCTGGTGACAGCCATGTTTGTTATTATGATTAGAGGACACTTGCGCACATAATCATTCCATATTGGGAATTCGCATTTCCTAATATGGTAGGATGAAAATACCCCCTAAAATACCACAAAATTATGGCATGCTGTAACTTATGGCGCTACGATGACAGATGTATAATAATATCAGTTGTGCTTAGAAACCGATAGCACTGTCTGGTTAGGGATTGGTCAGTTACTTTGGCCTAGGGGGGGTCGGTGGATCAGTAGGGGGGGTTACCCTGTTTTTGATTGTGCGAATAGGGGGGGGGTCACCCTGTTTTTGATATCATGAATTGGGGGGTCACCATGTTTTCCAAAATTCACACACGTGCTCATGCATATATTTTTAAAAATTTTATTTCAGAACAAACAATAAAAAAGTTAACCGTACAAATTTGTTCTTAATAATAACTATTACCTACATATATTGCCTATAAATTTGTTGATGCAAAAAATGTTATAGGCTAAATATTTTGAGGATAAAGTTGCCAAATAACTTACAGATGCGGCTAGAACCCCAATTATACAGTTAAGTTTTAAGCACATCCCAAGTCCATGTGCTGCTGATATCAGATTATTTTATTTAAAGTCTGAAGTCACCATTGTATAAGATATTTACTGGATTTATCCAATTATAACAGGAGATGGAAAGACAACACAGCAATTAGTACAAAGAGAAGTGACAATTTTTGTTCAGCAAATCAAAAAAGTTAAATTTGTGAAAATGCTGATAAATAAATTAAAATAAATGATAAAAAAATAAATAAATATTTTTTTTTTGTCTTTTTAACTTTTAAATATGCATATTTTGCTCTGTAAAATACCAAAATCCAACACAAATTTAAGCAAAAATCAAAGTTTCTTTTGTTTTCATAAGCACAGACTGTGCTTCGGGTGTAAATCTACTCGTTTATTAGTCACTCAAATTACTTATACTGTAAACAACCTCTGCAGGCACCTGTGAATCACCCTTGTAGAGCAAAACTGGACATTTTACAGGTATTAACCAGAATACCCAGAGGTGCCATGGTATGTTATACCATTATTTTACTCCCAGAGACAGACTTCACTCTACTTAACAAAATATCTAATCTAAGAAAGTGTAATAATTGGAGTGATTAATAAACAAGTGGGCCAACATAAAGTTTTCTTAGTGACTTCATAGTATATGATTGCAAGGTATCAAAGACACAGGATCATCAACTGGGAATACACACTTTTCAATGACTTATTTTTCTCCTTATTACCAACAGAATACAACAGTATTAGTGGGCAATGACACAGTCATAAGTACAAATATTTCAGATAATCCTGACTACGATATATACGTTATGGTGTATGGTTTATCTATAATAGGTATCCTGTTATTCAGCTTTATACGAGCCATTATCTTTATGAAGGTATGTATTCCTATCTGTGTGCGTACAAAATTTGAACTAAATCTGAATTCATTTCTTCTCTGCTCACATCAAGATAAAAGAATAGAAGTAAACCAACTTTAAACAAGTCATGAGTTCCTGTTAAAATATTACACTTGCTATCAGATTGTGTGCAGATGTGATGGTTACAGCATTACACTTTGTTTGGTGGTATATATTCAGTGTCTATTTAAATTGTTTTCTTTTCTTAGACCAATCCATTTTAACCGTCCAAATATACTTCCAATAATGAGGTTATTCTGTATCAGTTAGCTGAACTCTATTGCATGTGATTGATGCAGTGATTTGCCCTGAGCATATAAACCATGACAGTGCATGCTAGTATAACCACGAGATAATAAAATGATCAGTAAAATATACCCGGAGAACACCAAAATTGATACAACTCAACTGAGAAGCAAACTTTTAAATCTGAAATCTGCACGTAGGATGATGAATCAGTATTCTGTCTGCGGATACACCTCATCATAAAGTAATTTTCTGTAATCTAATATTTTACAGATAATTGAAGAATTCCATTGATTCATGTCCAGAATCTCTGAGTACACAAGTGCAACAAGACTATTTGTCGTACAGGTACTTGCTCCAGAGATATCATTCATAAATCTGAGTGACCCCTGATGTTCAGTACCTTTAATAACTCCTTTAACTTGACATGTTAATTTCATTCTTTGTGTATCAAGAGGACCTGGATTAGTTACTATATCACCACCAAGCAATAGAATCATTCTCGCATTGTACAAATAACATTTCTTAAAAGTATATAGTACGGTTTAAAAAGTATTTACTGTACATACAGTAACATTTATTAAGAAAGGGGCAGTATTGTAGATGAGCCACTATAGGGCAGTATTGACAAACCACTACAAGGCAATAGTGAAGTTATGCCACTACAGGGCAATGTTGATGTTGAGCCACTACAGGGCAATATTGATGATAAGCCACTAAAGAGCAATATTGATGTTAAGCCACTAAAGGGCAATATTGATGTTGAACAACTACAGGGCAATATTGATGTTGAGCCACTACAGGGCAATATTAATGTTGAGCCCCTACAGGGCAATATTAATGTTTAGCCACTAAAGGGCAATATTGATGTTAAGCCACTAAAGGGCAATATTGATGTTGAACCACTAAAGGGCAATATTGATGTTGAACAACTACAGGGCAATATTAATGTTGAGCCACTAAAGGGCAATATTGATGTAGAGCCACTACAGGGCAATATTAATGTTGAGCCACTAAAGGGCAATATTGATGTTGAACAACTACAGGGCAATTTTAATGTTGAGCCACTACAAGGCAATATTAATGTTTAGACACTACAGGGCAATATTAATGTTGAGCCACTAAAGGGCAATATTGATGATAAGCCACTAAAGGGCAATATTGATGTTAAGCCTCTAAAGGGCAATATTGATGTTGAACAACTACAGGGCAATATTGATGTTGAGCCACTACAGGGCAATATTAATGTTGAGCCCCCTACAGGGCAATATTAATGTTTAATCACTACAGGGCAATATTAATGTTGAGCCACTAAAGGGCAATATTGGCGATAAGCCACTAAAGGGCAATATTGATGTTGAACAACTACAGGGCAATATTGATGTTGAGCCACTACAGGGCAATATTAATGTTGAGCCCCCTACAGGGCAATATTAATGTTTAATCACTACAGGGCAATATTAATGTTGAGCCACTAAAGGGCAATATTGGCGATAAGCCACTAAAGGGCAATATTGATGTTAAGCCACTAAAGGGCAATATTGATGTTGAACAACTACAGGGCAATATTGATGTTGAGCCACTACAGGGCAATATTAATGTTGAGCCCCTACAGGGCAATATTAATGTTTAGCCACTACAGGGCAATATTGATGTAGAGCCACTACAGGGCAATATTAATGTTGAGCCACTAAAGGGCAATATTGATGTTGAACAACTACAGGGCAATTTTAATGTTGAGCCACTACAAGGCAATATTAATGTTTAGACACTACAGGGCAATAATGATTTTGAGCCACTACAGGACAATATTAATGTTTAGCCACTACAGGGCAATATTAATGTTTAGCCACTACAGGGCAATTTTAATGTTTAGCCACTACATGGCAATATTAATGTTTAGCCACTACAGGGCAATATTAATGTTTAGCCACTACAGGGCAATATTAATGTTGAGCCACTACAGGGCAATATTAATGTTTAGCCACTACAGGGCAATATTAATGTTTAGCCACTACAGGGCAATATTAATGTTGAGCCACTAAAGGGCAAATAGATCAATTTAGAAGGGTATATAAAATACCCCTGCTGCCTGTAAAAAAGAAAGAAAATCATAGTTAAAAATAAGGATAAGCAAAGATGGCTTAAAAAGAACATGTGCAGGTACATGAGGTACAGAATAGATATATGTAATATTTAAAATTAATTTTAGAATTCTAAAATTCTAGATATAAATTTAGTTTTCGAACAGTGTAAGAGTTTGATTCATGTTCTACAGCATGAACTGTATCTATTAACACAAGACAATACGCAAGATTGATAAGCCTTCAGCGAGCACTCCTGAAATTTCATATCATTGGTACCATGTTTTTGGATACATTCAATGACCTGATACATAGAACCACATTTTTTATTGGTCAGTCACTTGACCCTGTATGGCATTTGATTCACAAGATCACAAGCTCTATCATAAAATTGGGTTTTTCATTTGATGCAACAAAACGTGTATTCACAGCAGACGGAAATTTGTTTGAGATGTTACTGGACTATATTTTTGTATTCAGTTTTTCATTTCAACCACTTTGTAAGCTGAGATCATATGTTAGTGATCACGTATTAGGATACTGACTGTACATAAATGTGCAGTGTAGTGCCACCAGAAAACCAATTGCTTGAGAATATTTTGCACCATTAAAAGTCTTTTCAAATTTTATATTGGATGAAAACATAATTGCTACAATATGCTAGAAAAATGGATAACTGAATCACACACACACACACACACATATTGTTTGGCAGAAAGGAGGTACAATTTAATATGTGTTCGTCTGTTCCACTGATATCTCAAGAACCATACATTGATTTTTTATGAAACTTGGCACATAGATGCTCCAAACTAATGCGCAGATTTGATTAGTTTTGGGTAAAAATCTGTGCAATATTAATTACCTAATTTGCATAATGATTAATCAATGTTTGGCTTTTCAACTGATATCTCAAGTACTAATCATCACATTCCAATGAAACTTGGTACATGGATGTCATAGGACACTGCATAGACCTGATAGTTCTTAGGGTAATATCAGTACATATTAATTACCTAATTTGCATAATTAATTAATTTTCAGCTTTTGATATTTCAAGTAGTAATCATCACATGTCAATGAAACTTGGTACATATTTACTTAAGGACTGTGCAGACCCCTGATTAGTTTTGGGATAAATATTTGTGCATATTAATTACCTAATTTGCATAATTAATTTTCAGCTTTGATATTTCAAGTACTCATCATCATTTTTCAATGAGACTTGATACATAGATCTTCTAGGACTATGTAGACACATGATTAGTGTTAGGGTAAATAATTGTGGATATTAATTACCTAACTTGCATAATTATTTTTTTTTTCCATGAATGTTCCACTGATATATAAAAAAACACGAATTGGATTTTAATGAAACTTTTAAAGAGTACATTACATCATCCAATTAGTTTTTTGTAAATATTTATGCTTATTAATCACCTAATTACCATAATTAATTAACACTGATATCTCAATTACTGATCATCACATTTGAATAAAATTTGGTACAAAAATGCTCTAGAACAATAGACAGACCTGATTAATTTTGGGTTAAAATTTGTTCATATTAATTCTCTAATTAGCATAATACTTCATAATTTTTTTGTTCTTTTCTGTTCATATTAGTTACCTGATTTACATAATTAGTTTTCAGTTTTTCCATCAATATCTCAGGTACAAGTAAATTTGAATTAATTTTTAATGTGTCTTCAATACTCTCAGCACACGGGAGTTCTTTCTAAGCTTTCTTTGATTCTAATTTTGTTGATACTGAAAAGTAAAGTATGTTCTAAAAGAAATTTCGAATAAATACAAACACGAATACATTGCTTAGTGGTTAGTACCGGTAGCAAATGATCATGGCAGGCTGATCACGGCCCAGGGGGGCTACGTAAACCCCCCTCTGGGGGGAGGGGTCACGGTAACACATCCGGTCATTCTGTGTTTCGCAATTAAGGTATAGATGCAGGTTTGTGGGAACTTGGGAGTGAAATTTTTATTTTTTGTTTTTTATTATCCAAACAGTCTTGGGTATAGACTGTTAACATTTTGTAGAATTGTGAATAGTAGAACATACTCAAAAAACGATTTTAAAATATAGATAACAGGTGCAAACATTCTCTTTTTTGAATGCTTAGCAAGATTCAGCAAGGCTGTACATAAATAATAAAAAAGAAACATGGTGAAAAAAAGAAATGATGGGATCTCCACATTATGCACTATATTTAACTTTTAACAAATGGATAATACATTTCAATTTGGAACTGTTACAGCCAAACTTCTTACTGAGTGAATTGTTATGCAAATTAGCAATTATCTCAGCTTATTTTTAGTGCACATCCCAGAACTTTAAAAAAAAATAGCTCCTAGACGCTTTGACCTTTTGTTTTGAAATTTTCACAAATGATTGACAATGTGTTCAAAACGCCTTCGGGGCATTGTTTTTGGTTGAACAGTGTTACAACAATCGTGCAGACAACTAACCTAGATGTTAATATATGGATAAACTTGAAGTAGTGAAATTTGGGCTGCTGCCCTGCAAAATTGACAACTGGTAGACAGTTTTCAAGACGGCACTTTCTTCATAGTAAACAGATGTACCTATAAACCAATTTTGACAGGAAACAGAAGCATGGTTTAGGAGCTAAT